GAGGATGATCTGTACCGCGAGCCGCCCTTGCCCGAGGAGTACTCGGTGCCGCTGTTCCCTTTCGCCGGCCACGGCGCCAACCCTTGGGCCAAGGTCGCCGGCTCCAAGTTCACCCGGGACTTCATCCTCATCTCCGAGTTCTCGGAGCAAGTGGGGCCCCAGCCCCTCCTGACCATCCCCGATGACGCCAAGGTGTCGGGCACCTTCGATCTCAACTATTTCTCCCTGCGGATCATGTCTGTGGATTACCAGGCGTCCTTCGTGGGGCACCCCCCTGGCTCTGCCTACCCAAAGCTGAACTTCGTGGAGGATTCCAAGGTGGTGCTGGGGGACTCCAAGGAAGGGGCCTTCGCCTATGTGCACCACTTGACCCTGTATGACCTGGAAGCCCGTGGCTTCGTGAGGCCCTTCTGCATGGCCTACATCTCTGCTGACGAGCACAAAATCATGCAGCAGTTTCAGGAACTGTCTGCTGAGTTCTCCAAAGCCTCCGAATGCCTCAAGACAGGGAACCGGAAAGCTTTTGCCAACGAGTTGGAAAAGAAACTGAAAGACCTCGACTACACCAGGACTGTCCTGCACAACGAGACCGAGGCGCAGAAGAAAGCCAACGACAAGGGATATTACACGACCCAGGCTATCGAGAAGGCCAACGAGCTGGCCAGTGTGGAAAAGTCCATCATCGAGCACCAAGACCTGCTGAGACAGATCCGGTCCTATCCCTACAGGAAGCTGAAGGAGTCAGAGTTCCACCCCTATGAGCCGGAGCGTGCACTGGATCGGGCCGACGCGGGCTGTGATCAGGACCTGGCTCCCTCTGACCCTGCAGAGCCCGGTGAAACGCACCTTTACACCCACATCCCATCCTACACCCCCAAGCTCATCAAAGCCAAGTCTGCCAAGTGCTTTGACAAGAAGCTGAAGACGCTGGAGGAGCTCTGTGATGTTTATTTTTTCACCCAAACCCTTGACCAGTTGCACCATATTGAGAGGACTTTCCGAGGTGACGTGTGTTACCTCCTGACAGAGCAGATCAGCCGGGCACTCCTGAAACAGCAGAGTGTCACCAACTTCCTCTTCGAGGATGTGTCTTTTCTGGATGAAAAACCTCCTGAAAAACAGTACAGAGGCTGCCAGGGGCTTGGCCAAGATGCCACAGATGGGAAGTGTTTGGAAGAGTCCCTAACCCCTAAAGTGGTCGTCAGCCTGGGCTCCTACAAGTCCAGTGTGGAGTGTGTGCCCATCAAGATGGAGCAGGAGATGGAGGACTCCGAAGAACCCAAAATGTCCGAGTCTGTGACGTCCGAGCCCCAGGAGAACCTGGACTATCTGGATGCAGACATCAAAGGCAGCATCAGCAGCGGGGAGAGCATCGAGGTGCTGGGCACGGAGAAGTCGGGGTCGGGGCTGACCAAGTCAGAGAGCCAGGCCAGCCTGCCCGTCATGCCCAGCCCCCAGGCAGGCCGGAGCAAGGTGGGCAGCCGGCGCACGGTCAGCGAGGACAGCATCGAGGTGCTCAGCACGTGTCCCTCTGAGTCCCTCATCCCGGAGGATTTCAAGGCGAGCTACCCAAGTGCCATTAACGAGGAGCCCTACGCGGACAACGACGACGAGCGCGGCCTTCGCTTCGCCCCCAGACTGAGCCCGGGCATCGCCGACGAGCAGGACGACGTCTCAAAGCAGGAGAGCTTGGTGCAGGTCGATGCTGCCTGTTGTATTGGAAAGGAGAGCCCCATCTTCCTGGAGCCTCTGCCCGAGCTGGGGCAGAAGCCGTGCGAGGAGGACGGTGTGGTGCGGATCCCGCCGCAGCCGTACCGGGCGGCCGAGCAGGGGCTGCGCGGGGGCTTCCCCGCCCACGACGGCGTCCCCGGGGGGCTCCTGCCCTACGAGCTCGACTCACGCTACCTGTCGGGCAGCAGGGAGGTCAGCAAGAGCAGCCTGGACGAGTGCTCGGACTCCACGAGCTACATCAGCAGCGCCGCCTCCACGTGCTCCGACAGGACCCCTTCTCCCGCCCACCCCGCCTGCCAGGCCGGAGAGAGGCACAGGAAGAGGGCCGGGCAGAACGCGCTGCGGT